CACCTGCTTAGCCTCCAGCCAATATCTCTCTATGACCCTACCATAGTCACAACAACTATGCAATTAATCCACTCGAGTCCGTACTCATCGACCAGATGCAAGAATTCACTTCCCCACAAATGAACAACTGAAAGATCTACCAACACATCAGCATCTAAGACTAGATAACACATAGAGACGATAATCAAGTTGTCTATGCACATCTAAGTCCGAGTACTTAACATCACACACGAATCGAAGAGAACGAAACTGGAGATTTAGGCTTCAAGATGAAACAAAGTAGCACGATAAGGAAAGAAAGTAGGGAAGTTTCCTAGATGTCCTGTAGCCTCTCAAAGATAAGTATGGACATCATCATACTAATCCGCAAGACTCTACTAGGTATTTGCTAATGACTCGTAGAACCTATGAATATAGAGCTCTGATACCAACTTGTCACGAACCAAATTCCCACCAAGTCATGATGGCACCTAACCCCACCCACTAGGTAAGCCAGCTGCATAATTACATCTATAATGAGAAGTCAATAATATTAATAATAAAGACTGCAAAACAATTCAATACAATTATCCCAAGGACATGTACTACAAGTCATGAGTCGCTGTGATTTAGATTTACAAGATTGATATGAATAACAAATACAACGTCTATTTGACGTCTGCATAAACGGAATGAATTCCTAAACTACCATGAACAAGAGGTAGTTTGAATCTGGAATGCTGGTACGTCTTCAATGTAAGGCTTCGTCTTCCTTAGCTACTCAACTCCAGGATCTGCACGCAAGGTGCTGAAGTGTAGTATGCGTACAACCGACCCCATGTATTCAGTAAGTATCTTGACTAACCTCGATGAAGTATTGATGAGGTTTTGATGTCAAAAGACACCCGCTTTACAAAACCAGTGCAACTCAATAACATGTACAATACAGAGAAATATCCAGAAAAGATAGTTACAAAATAAAGAATATCAGCAGTAAAGGTACACAATTGTGGTGGGGTAATAAACAAATTCTCCTAATTAAATAGATCAAGCAAATACAACTTGCACCAATCCCGCTCACAAAGAGACATGCACCAAATAATGTGTATGCTCAAATAGTCATACGTGACTGTAAGCCTGTACACAACATGATCCGATTCCGTATTAATTGCCGAATACCATATTCATGAGACCTCTACAAGAATCCATTAAATCAATGCTTGATGATAATTTTTTTACATCAATCCAATATGCTACCAACAAGTCAACAAACATTAGATATCAATTCAACATAGGTAAACCCATCTTGACAACTAAATTATCAAATAATAACAGAGGCATAGAATAGCATGTTAGATGCAACATAAAACATGTAAAATGTATGACATAGCATAAAGAATTCATTTGCATAATCAAGAGTGCCACCCTTATGCTCCACGCATCATCAATCGAGAACTCCACCCTAATGTGCCACACATCATTAATCAAGAATGTCACTGTTATACTCTATATCACATCCATCACATCGATCAAGTACCACAATTTGCGTGTATGCCATCAAGAGAGAAACATGAGAGGGCGACCCTAGGATGATGGATCTGTATCCACACGTTGCACGGTATAAAGCCTCGTGCATAATAATAATTCCACCCTTATACTCAACACATCATCAATATCAGGAATGCCACTCTTATATCCACACATCAATAATCAAGAATGCCACCCTTATACTCCACAGTACATCAACAATCAATTTGCTCAACATGTCCATATGTGCCATGATCATAACAAATTCAAGATAATATTTATCATCAAGAGACATATTCTCACAATTCACAAATAAGGTGCACAAGAATATGAAAATAATAAAATGTGGATGTGTGCTCCAGATATAAAACATGACTACGGCTAAATCAATCTAGCAATGATTCTATAAATGCACATCTTGGCTAATTAGGAGATAATAATCCTAAAATATGATCTCTAGCATGAAAGAATAAGTTGGCGTAGTCATACAAAGGATCATACATGAGAGTGCACATTCAAATAAAGGCACAATACAAGAACAATAAGTACGGATGTGTTCATAACATACGTGTGACTACATCCGAGGCAAATATAGGATCGATCTCACGATTAGTTCATCATGTTCAAAATATGGCACCAATAGACTCAATATTTCTCTAGCATGGTTTATTGTACTCATGTAGACAATCAATTGAGTGGCACATCGAATACACACCACCAAACAAGGCATAAGGAGATCTAGAATTCTATCCCGAGCATGGATACCCATGACACATGTATATACGCTCGTCACTTCATATATACATCACCGCCGCATGTAGCAAACAACATCAATTAGTAATAAAATTCCTTCAACTAAAGCTAGGCAAAACACTTACCTCATCCGACTAGTCCAAAGCTCCAAAAATGTATTTCCTTGAGAAATCACCTCTAACATGCTCGAATCTAGCTAATCATCAATCAAGGAAGTCAACTAATATAATAGGAAGTAATGTCAATCAATAAAGCCTCGATCTTTGAAGAATTCTCCAAAAGTCAACAAAGGTTAACCCCGTGCTCGCGTGCCCCAACCCAGAACTAATGCCAAAATCCGATGACCCATAACCTGCCGAGTCCAAATATATGATTAAATTCCAAAATCGAATCCAAATTGATACTCAAATCCTCAAAATACACTCTCTTAAAGTGCAAGTAAAATCCCAAATTTCATCTCAAGTCTGAATCACACTTTGACGTTCCAGATCACAACCAAACTACACACAAATTCCAATCAACGGAACAAAACCTATACAAGGTCTCACAACTAAAATAGGAGTCTGATAGCACTAAAGTCAACTTCCAGCGAAACCTACGAACCCTCCAATTTTTCAAATTGCCAACTTTCGGCAAATAGAGCTAAAACTTTCTAGGAACATACAAATTCGAATCCGAACATACGTGTACTGGAATCTTAAGGACAAAAATTATCATATGAACCTATTGGAATCATCAAATTACTATTTCGAGATCGTTTACTCAAAAGTCAAACATTGGTTAACTCTTCCTACTCAAAGCTTCCGAATTGAGAATTACTCTTCCAAATCAATCCCGAACTTCTTGAAAATCAAAACTAACTATCCACGCAAGCCGTAACACCTCATATGAAGCCACTCCAAGTCTCAAACTATCGAATGGAACGCCAACGCTCAAAATGACCGGTCGGATTGTTACATTACACCTTGATTTCCCTGTATTTTTTTGGTTCGTTCTTGCTTTGTTACGCATAAAGCGGAGTGCTGTTGCCTGTAGCGGTCCCTTCACTTGCATTAGTCTTAGATGGTTCCATGTGTAACTTGGGTACGCTCTTTTTCAGGAGTTGATAGGTTACTTCCTTCTACTATTATCAGATCCATGTCATTCTCGTTTAACTGCACATAATTTCTTGGTTATCGAAAAATGGGTATAATTTCTTTGACTGTTTCTTCAAGTATTCATACACATTAGTACTAGAACAAAAAAAAAACATTCTTGAGGTTCAGTTGTTATGGTGATGCTCTTCAACTTACTGCTAATATCATCATGAGGGCGTGCTGATCATTTACGTATTCCACCTTTCATTGTGTTTGGTCCAAAAGACACACATGGGTTGCTTTCTCCTAAATGATTCACTTATTAAAACCTTTGGGATGCAAATCCACAAAAGCGACCTGAAATGGACGAGGTAGTAAGATTATTAGAAGCAATCGATACCTGAAGATAAGCTGGTGGCTGTTTCTGCTTTGCTTCAATCAGGGGTCCATAATTTTCGTACATCACTTTTTATTCTCTTCGATGAAATTGTACGATTAATTAGAAGTATTGTGATAGTTCTTCAACCTCCGCATAGTTCTTCAACCTCCGCTTTGGGTTATTGGCATCTCCAACTAATGAATTTTAGGCTTTTAATTTGTATGCTACCTTCCATTTGTACAGTTCTTCTTGTAAAGAACTGTTCACATATATATGGTATTCCAGTGAATTGTTACTGTTGGATGTATCTTTTGCTTTGGAACCTTACTCGGAATAATCTTTGCTGATGCAAGAATGACAGCATGACAGTGTTAGATTATTATTTCAAAGTCGACGGGACCGAAAATATGCATATCTGTAAGTCCATCTTGTTGAGTAAGAATCAACTTCTAGATAATATTATTATTCTGAAATAAGGCATGTTATAGGTGTGTGACTTATCCTTCGGTAGCTTTCACTAACAAACAAGGTCATTGCAACTTATCCGAATTCAGGTCCTTTTTCTTTGTACATCTAATTCTTCAAATGAATTGACTATCACTTGATCATGCTCTTCAAGTACGGAGTTAGCTAAGTGATCTGTAAGTTCATTTCCTTCTTACGCATGATGTGCTTGCATCACCTAGACTTTACATCTTTATAGAAGGTCCTTTGCTTCCTTGATCAGCACTGCTATACTGGTTTTCAGCTTCCACCTATTACATTATTTAACATCAATGAATCAGTTTGCAATATGGAAGGTGAATAAACCTGGTGATGCACACAATAATTGATGGCTTCAGGGATGGCTATAGTTTCAGCAAACGCATGCTTCATTTCTCCAGCCTATGCATGAACTAGATTATCTCCGGATGAATCTCGCACACAAAATGCAAATTATCTCCTCCTCGAACTAGCTCTAGAGACCCCATCAGTTCCATTTTAACCAACCCATTAGAGGCAATTCCCGTAACACTTTGGTATGGCGTTCTCGCATAATTTTAGGCGTTCTATGGCATATAGTATGTTATTTTATTGTTAAATCATTGAATTATTATTTTTCGAAACTCTTTCTGAACCTAAAGCTGAGCTAACCGAAGATTCCGAATTAAGAAGTTTTAATAGGCTAAGGCACGTTTCTGATCGGAAATCGGGATGTCGCATTTCCTTAAAGTTGACTACTGCAAAAAAACTTGTACATGTACTTACTGCTTCACCACGTATGGCACAAACACAAGATCACCATATAGCCCATGTGCTGAAAACATATTACTTTATCAACATGTGAAAGCAGGAGATAAACTCAAAGAAGTCATTACAATTTTTCATATAACATGGTTGTTTGGAAAGGGTGATGGAGATTAAATTTTTTTTCCCAAGTAGAAGGTTAATGAGTCTAGACCAAGTCAATGAAGATAGATTAGCAAATAATCTACTTTGTTGAATTCTGCAGCTTTGGGAAAATTGGATCAACATAGGCATGATACATAGGATCAGCAAGCCAAAGTTCAGCAATGTAATGATGAGATGAGGCACGCCTATGAACTTCTTCAATAAGCCAGATGCTTGCTTCAGCTTTGCTAGGATGTATGATGGTATCTAATGGAACGTCATCATCGTTGGTGTTGAACCTCATTTGATCCCACTGCTTCATGTGGACATTGGTTAGGTAGTGCAGTGGTTGTCCATATAACTGTTTAATGGATGCGGCTAATCCCGCCCATGAGGTGAAAGGGATAACAGAGCCACGGTGTGTGGGAATAGGAACCAACTGCATGTACTCCTGGTACATTCTTGCTCTTCTTATCATTGAATCTGTAATGCAGAGCCTATAAGACTAGTTATACAGATATAATACATGAAATAACAGGTAAACTCTAATCTTGCACCGTGGTCAATTGTCTGGAAACTACAACAACAACAACCCAGTATAATCCCACTAATGGGGTCTGGGGAGGGTAGTGTGTACGCAAACCTTACCCCTACCCTGGGGTAGAGAGGCTGTTTCCGATAGACCCTCGGCTACCACTAGTCTGGAAACTAGTTTGAATTAAGAATTCAACATAAACTATGTAAAACGATGTTCATACTAAAAAAGAAAAAGAAAAAGCAAAAGTAACTCCTTCGAGCATTAGTACTATTATCAAAGAGACCTCTCAATGCTCATTCACATTAGAAAAGATAAACTGAATATAGATTTATGGACGAGATTTTCCTGGGAATCAAACAGAAGCTACTTGTAGCCAAAGATCAGTCAACTTGTACATATGGATAGGAAGCAACACAGATATACTTCTTTTCGTCAAATTTCAATAAGGTTAAAAATTGACATGGAAGGGTATCTTCTAACCCTTTCACATCTAATCTTCTCGTTTTTTACTAACCAGAGGAGAAACAATCCGTACAGCTTCTTTTACTTCTTCTCCACCAGCTCTGGTATAATGTGAACCTATGCTTTAGTTATGCAACTATTAGTTTATACACCCTATTTGGTATTATCCTATGCATAACAAATGCATAGGAAACCATGGTATTAACAATGCAATGGGTTTTAATGCATGCATTAGCTTAGTTAACGACAAAATTGCCCTTCAAAATTTATGCTTGATTAAAATATGTTATTATATTAATGCAAGTTTGATATAAAGTTTGATACTGAAATTGCTCCCGCTATTTATATCTATACTCCGCCAATTTCTTCATTGTAAATTTATAAATCTGTACTCTACTACTACGTACTGGAATGCACTTGAAATCAACTCATTTTCCTTTTATTGTTTTAGTTCAAACTTTCTTTGCCTAATAATCTAAGAAAGTGGGAAATAAAATTATATTCCTAGTAGATAAATAAATACTTAGCACATTTTCTTTTTTATAAATAAATATTCAGTTCTATACTACAATATAGGTAGACAAATCAAATAATTTTTTTTAAACCTTTTTCATATAAAAACATTCCTCAACATATGTTTCTTTTAAGAAGATAAAGTGATGGACTAGTTATGTGGGTATTTTTGTAGACAAATAATTCTTTTAGAAATTGTGCAATGCTTTAATACATTAAACCAAACAATGAATAAGAAATATGTCAGCATAACTAATATCAGCATTAATAATACACCATATTCAGCATTATTCTTATGCACCCTACCAAACGACCCCTTAGTGTTTCATGATCCATTTATTGGAGAAGAAAAAAGGAATACAAGCAAACATCTAGAGTTTGTCCAGATGCAGAATTTGCACTTTCATTTTATGAAAACCTCCTAATTCTACAATCATTTTTACTTTGTTTTGATTTCCCAAGGTTGCAGAAAACTTGCTTGAAAAAGAGAAACATTATCATCATTTTCAGCCCCAAGACAAAGTTAATGCTCCATTATTCTTAAAGCCCATACAGATCCAGAACCAAGAAAAAGAAAAGAATGAAGAGGAAACAGGAAGAATCTACGCGCATTGTGCAATTGGAAGCAAAATGATGAGATAAGAGATGGGAAAAGTGGGAGGAGCTCAGATGTCTTTGTGCACACTCAAAGAGCAGGCTTTCTTGTTGCTGGTGGTTGTGTTCTGGACATAAGCTGGAGAAAAAGGGATAAAAACACCAGATGGGAGAGGATAAGCGACAGGAGAAACATGAAAACTAGGAGTTTTATTCAGCAGGTAGATTCATCAATGAGGTGATGGTGTTAGTCCACAGGTTTTCCTTCCTTTTCTTTATTGGTGAGATTTTCCTTCCTTTTCTTTTGCAAGCATTTTGCTCAAAGGGTTGAAGAGAGAAAATGTTTTTCTTTGATCAATAAGGATAAAAAAATATTTGTCCTTGTTCACTAATAAATTGACTAATTAAACTCATGTTTCCATAGTCAATTTGATCCACATTGAATACGGGACACAAACACCTACAAGAAGATCTCTTGAATTTATGTAAAGGCCGCTTGGATTTATCCATGGTTTGTTTGTTTAATTTATTCCTTTGAGAGATAGAGGAAGTTCATATCATCAAAATCTATGGAAGCATTGGTTTATGCATTCCTGTTCTCGACTCTACTCTAGGGATAAATTTTTCTATCTTTTTTTGAGAATTATCAAGAATTCCAACTAAGAAGGTGAAATGATTTTCTATTAACTCAGTTTAAGTACTAAGCCTCCTGATCAGTACTTCAACTAGTCTCCATGTTCCTCAAATGAATCTCACCAAAAATGGGAAGTACTAATTGCTCTTTCCAAAATGCTTTGTTTATCAAAACCTATTAGCGTAAATTCTCCTTTTATTCAACAGAAGTGTTCTCCCTCCTTCATTTTTTTCCTCAAGAAAGAAGAATATTTTATGAATTTAGATCTAGATAGACTTTTCAGTTTAAATGCTTGCTTCTGTAAATGCTAAATACTGGTAGTATTGTCTTCAAGTGGCTACTCTCTATGGCACCCTTGAGGGCATCTCCAACCCTCCCCCACTTCTCCAAAATGCAGTCCTCTTTTGCCAAAATGTGGCTCCAATACTCCCCCATTTTTGCCCCCAAAATGGGGATGAATAGTGTTACTCCAAATTTGGAGTGATACTATTCATCTCCTCCATTACTATTCATCCTTACTTTATTATTATTTTTATTATTTAACTCTTTTAATTTATCTCTTTATATATACCTAATTATGTTTATGTAATATCTTTATAATATTAATTTTACATCTTAACTTTGACGTAAAATTTTGATAAATTAATTTTCGTGCATTTATTATTTTATGTAAAATTGTAAGTTAATTTTATTATAAGTTATTTTTAGGTAAATTAATTTCATTTATGGGAGCATACTAAAGGTGGAAGTTGAATATTTATGTAATATTTAATCTGAATTTTACCATAATGTAATATGTATTTAATTAACTTGTATCTCAATTATTTCACTTTTATTTGAATTATCCATTAATATATATAATCTATAATATTTGCTTACAAATTATATTATTTAAAAATTTATGGTATAAAATAATTTTATATTAAATTATATGTGATGAATATGTAAAAAAGAAAAAAAGATAGAATTTCTTTAATAGAAATAAGAAAATAAAATTTAAATAAAAGATAATAATATAATATTGAAGAGAGAGAGAAGAATATAAAATGGAATATTCTTTTTTAGAGTAAAAAATGGAGTAATGGTTAGAATAACTTTATTCCATTTTGGAGCTTACTCCATTTTGGAGGAGAAAATGGAGGCAAGGGTTGGAGATGGCCCAAGAAACCAAAATTAATCTGGCTTCAAGGCTAAGAATGAGAAAGCAGAAATTTTGAAATAAAATTTTACTCAACAGATTCATGTCTAAAAGATTATGTATCAAGTTTGATTAGACAAGTTTTATAATGTTTCATTATGAAAGTTCCACTTTGCACATTCTTTTTGATAGCCGCTTTTGCACATTTTGTTATCAGAGCCAATACCATATTTAGGATGGGAAATGAAATTCTTTACAAAGAATATTATTCAAATCACTTCTATCTGGATGCTCTTAGATTACATTATCAAACAAGTGGAACTGACAATGTTATCAGATCTTATACGTTAAATTGCATAAAGGCTTTGTATAAAAAGTTCATCTGAAGATCCTGTGTGGCTGAACTTGATACGAACCAAGGAACACTACTTACACAAGTACACATCAAGCCTCACGACCTTTCACTAGATCACAAGCAAGAGAACTAAGGGACTTACAAATCTTTACAAAGAAGTGGGATGTCTTGGAGATCAAGTTGGAAGCTCGTTGAAGACTTACAATGTCTTATATGTTTTGCCTAAAGAGGAGGAGTTGAAAGAAGACCATTTGGAGCCTCAAATTATTTTCTTTTAAGTGTATTTATCTTAGGCCTTCTTCAAGGATAATTTTGTCTTTCATTGACCCTATTCAAACCTAGTGTAAAAGAATAATGATGAGGGTTATTTCCTCTTTAGCTTATTTTGCATATTGATGATGGTTTCTAAGGAGCTATGGCTTCCAACTTGTTGATCTAGACTTCCAAGGTGTATTCACAAGGGGAATCATTCCTCTTGAGGGTAATCCTATAGTTTTAGGTTCACTTTGTTTGTAGTTGATAGGTAATTGATTCTTATCAATTGCTTCTGCTTCTCAATTACTTCTTTGTTGGGTCTAATCAAAAATTTATTGCTTGCCTTTATTTTGTTGTTTTTCCACATTAAAATTCCTACCTGAACTCCATTACAGAATTTTATACTAACACCAAAAACTACTAGATAAACTGCCTGATAAATGTTATATTAATTTAACAGATTCCTTCCAGGCATTATGCTACCATCTTTACTTGTGCATGAACTGCTTTCTAAATTCTAATCACACTTGAGCAACCGACAGTTTGATGTGAGAAATGTTGGCCCAAATAACCTAAATTCCTAGCTCCGTCTTTGATTCTTGAGTTCCCGTACTAAAAGAGGACGCAAGCTTGCGTAAATAAAAGAAACATGAAACACTATACCAACAGCCTAACTAGATCCTCATGTATTGAACAAAAACGTAAGTATCTCTACCTACAACATACCTCAAACTTAATCAAGAGACGAGGTTTCTCCTTTTTCCAGTTTTTCACAGTGATAAAGCAACTGGAGTGTTTTTCCGCTAAGGGAACATATGCAGACACTTCTAGTAGATTGAGAAACAAGACTCTACTCGACAATTATGTGAATTATGACACAGAATTTCAGTACCTTCAGAAATAAGTTCGTTAACAGGTTGACCAGTGGTGATATAATTTTTCAGCTGTTTGTTTTCTGTTTTGCGATCATCTGTATCAGAGGAAGATGAGTCGCCCGATGAGATATCCACCTGCTCACCAAATGGCGCTGCTCTCTCCATATCTGTAAAATTGCAGTCATTTGGAGAAAATAAAAACATGCTAGCAGCTTCAACATTTGAAAACTTTGATGAAACTATTTAACTTTAATTTGACGACTCATCTTGGGACGAATGAGTTTAAAAGTCAGTGTGTACTCCCAAGTCCTATAAAGGAAAATAAAAAAATGAATGTAGGATATGAGTTATTTGATTTGATCCCATATACAAGTAAGAGAATAAGAAAATATTTAAATCAACACAGCTCATCAATGAACTGAATGAGCAACTGGCCAGAAAGCCATACAATTCTAATAGACCACTATTTTGATTTCTATACGTAAAATCCTAGTGTAGAGTCTAATATCCAACAGTTAAAAGTTCATCACGGTTAGCAGATTCAACAAAATTCATGCAATGCTCAGATCATTCCTTTTCTCTGCATATATGCTTAATTCATCATAAACTGCATGCTAAAATTAAGAATAGTACGAACTGAAACCCACTCTAACAAGGGCCCATTCTCTAATAATCAAGAATCTTGCCCATTCTCTAATAATGAAGAATCTTCATAGACAATTAAATTAATAATTATTAGATATATTAGCTTCCAAGTTCGATTGGATAGACATATTTGGATAAGAGGATACCTTCAAAATTGTTTTTTCTATGGACTTAACTTACACTATCAATCTAAATAACTTGTTATACCTGGTAATCTGTCTTGTTTTTCAAGTTTACTAATTGCCGTTTTATGTCTAGTTACATGTAATTATCTGTTAGGTACCTGATAGAGTAAAATGTGTATACAAGATAAACTTTTTTTCTAAAGATATTCCTTTTTTTGGGGGTAAAATAATTAGATTTGAATTGGTTCGAAACTAAAATCCAATGTTCAAATATTAAGGATTCCATAAATGACTTTCTCCCTAATTGAAACCCACAATATCATGATAAATTGTTCATCCTTTTATCTTCTACTAGTCTCAGGGTACGTGCTTTTGCGCGTGTACCCCATATTAATGAGTAGATAATTTCAATAAAATATTGTTGAGTTGTCCCACATCGGTGGGATTTGAGGTCCTTGGTCTCCTTATATGGTTTTGGTCAATCCTCACCTCATAAGCTAGCTTTTGGGTTGAGTGCCCAAGGTCCATTTATCATGGTATCAGAGTCAGGCTCATCCCAATTATTGTTACCGATGTTGGGCCCCCATTTATGTTGTCCACGCTCCAGTTTGCAGGCCTGGGCGTGAGGGGAGTGTTGAGTTGTCCCACATCGGTGGGATTTGAGGTCTTTGGTCTCCTTATATGGTATTGGGCAATTCTCACCTCATAAACTAGCTTTTGGTGTTAGAGTTAAGTCCAAGGTCCATTTATCAAATATATTAAACAATGTATTTGATAAATACTGATCTCATTTAGGTAACTTAATAAAAGAAGAAATTCTGCTCTACGGAAGTCCTCAAATGCCTTATTTTGATTTTTGAGTATTTTTGAGGATATTTACCTAAAAATAAACAGGTAATACAAAAATACTTTTATCACGATTCTTCAAAGATTTACCTGAAATTTCTTGTTCATGTCCACTATGGTTTCCATCATTTAACTTTGTTGCATTTGATTCAATATATTTGTTCATCCTCCGAATGGCATAAGCAACTTTGCGTTGGTCTACAAAAAGAAAATAATTTTTTTGATGAAGTATGAGATAATATTAAAAGCATGTCGAAGACGCAAAATAGAGCAATGTACAGGTTATAAAACAAAAGAGAGTTTGCTAGCCCTATTATAGATAATCTTATGCTACGGATTGGGAGCTAACAAAATCCAAAAATGATTCAGGTGAGCTACCAGGGGAGCGATACTCCAGCTACATAACAAAATAAAACAATTAGCCTTAAGGGATAAGGGAGTAAGTTGGAGTTGATAATCCATCAAAACACCTTCTATTCATTTCTGTCCAAAATTTAATTTAATTACCACAATTAACAATATCTTAAAGAACATAATGTGTTAGTTAAAAGTAATTCTACCTTGTTGTGTCATATGTATTTGATGAATAATGGAAAATATCTTGCGCCTGCGGCATGCAAAAAACTTGTTAATATCGCATTCAAATTGAATTAGACACATTCAGCCAAATTAGAAACATATACTGAGTAAAAATTCTAAACTAAATATTAAATGCTAAGTCAGAAAATGTTGCTCCTTAATATGAAACAAAATCAAAATTTAACCAATCAGTAAGTATCAAGAACAAAAAAATAAATTGGAGCTTATAGTATTAAGAGAATGTTACACCACTAATCATTTACAATTTTTAGTTTTTTATGAGTTATTGAGTCGTCATCACTCCTTACCCGATGGTTTGTGGTGTAGTTGTTGTTTTTGGATTGTTGGTGTGTTTTCCTTCTTTTCCAAAATGATTTATATAAGGTAAAATTTTATTTTTAAAGTCCTAAATATTAGGGCTTCATACCTAGTTAAGATAAGGAATGATTTAGTAAGAAAAACTTTAGTTGTTTATAAATGGAGTAACAATTTTGTCTAATGTGCAATCCATCTTTAAAGGGTAAAAAAGTCAATAACATTTCGCACATGGTTTTCGTGCTTTTTATAAATGTGGGGAAATAATATACTTGGTTAAAATATTTTGGAAAGTATTTTCTGTGGGAAAACAAGTTACTCTTCCTTATGGAGTAGTAAAAACAAGTTCCATAAGTGGCATTCCACACTAATTGTCACCTCCCCATCCCCCAACACCAAAAAACCCCACCCTACTCCCATAGTGTTTGCCCCGTGCTCGTGCGGCACTATTGTCTACTTACTTACCAAACACAAAGATATAAGTAAGTGTTTACCCTTAAACTGGATAACAATTAAATTTATAGTGTGGTTCTAAGGACACGTGATTTCACTTAATACCAATTGATAAATATGAAGATTAATAACAGAAATGAACTATAAAGTAAAGCAAACCAGTGTTAGAATGGAACTCAACCCTCGAGTTTGGATACCCTCGAACTGGTTGATGTAAGAACAATTAAAATATAACAAGCTGATGAACAAGAGTATAAACGAGAAAGAGAATTATATTGCTTTGATATCTGTGAACAATGTGTGTTACAGATAATTAGAACCCCCTTTAAATAGTAGAGAAATTCCACTTATGGTATAATTCTAATTATAGAAGAAAATCCCATGATTAGCTAATTAACCGTTTCTGATTTGATCTGTTTCGAGATTTACGCCATGATCCTCGACCAGTCACGGATATCTCGCCTTTCTGTTATTGTGCTATCTTCGATCTTGCTCGATGCCAGTCTCATTTGGCTTCGATCGCTACTAGCCTCGATCTCGACAGGTACCTCGATTCTGAGCTCGGTACCTTATCCTCGTGATTTAATCTATTCCGTTACGAGGCCATCCTTCGATGCAACCTTCCGGTCTCGGTCAAATAGTAAAATCGGTGGGCTCTGTTTTAACCGTATACGGTAAGAAACACACATATTCTAGAAAAATATATTTTCCATCATACCAAACACGCCCTTTATGTTTTTTTCCTTTTCCGTTGTCGGTTAGATTCTTCATACGGAAAAAAAATTATCAAATAGTAGGTGTTATGATTGAAAAGAATATCACAAGCTCATTAAACTTATTAACTACAACTTATTCTAAAATAAAACAAATATCTAGTAAGACTATAAACGAACATTATGGTGCGATTCACTAAAATTTATGGATTGCCATTAAAATTCCATTGCAGAAAGGGATAAGGTTTTTTGCTAACTAAGACACATAGAAATGGATTATAAAGACAAAGCACGCAAGAGAATAAATTTACCAAATTCCGTTAGCGGCAGAGTGATTATGAGCAGCTTAATTAGCGGCAGAGAAGAGGAACTTTAGCGACCTGGTAAACAAAATCTTTTGAAAAACTGTTGTTTGATGCACTATACAAAGGTTTACTCTGTAACCAAAAGGGTTTAATTTATTTAAAGGGGGGATCCAATTATATTATGGGTTATATTTATGGGTCTGGGTTTTAAAATGAACCCATTAGGTCTTGTTTAAATGGCCTCCACATGTCCGTCCGTTAAAAGTAAAATTCGTGCTGGGTGTACCTCAATAAATCTGGTATTTAATTTTTGTCAAGTATCTTTTAACTTTGTTGTATAGGTCAAAATCTGTCTTTAGATTATTTAAATCAAGATAATACTAAAAAAAAAAATTTCAAGTCATCATTTGTCGAGATGGCCCAAGAAGCAGCAAAGTCTGTGGTCGAAGTGTCAACAAGAGTCGTAGTTGAGGTGCCAACAAAGAACGAGATCGAGATCGAATACCATTGACTGAGTTGTAACGACTAGTTTTCAAGATAGGACATTAAAGAAAATATTCTAGTGGATATTCTCTGCACTTGTACTATTAGGATTTCTTAGGAACATGTCACATATAAATAGAAAAGGAGATAGTGATCGGGGCATGTGATATTCATTTGTAAAGAACACACTTTGACTAAAAGATTCATCTCTCTCTCTTAGCACAAACACCATCTTTTCACTAAGATTCTTGTCCATACTTTTCCATCAGATCCGAGAATAACTCGAATATTCAAGGATTTGTCCATCATTCATCATTGTCAGGAGGAACCTCCGCCTATTCCAGCCTTTATTGGGTGAATCATTCCTCTTATTTACTTAAATGTCATTTATTGCTACTCATTATTATATTATTGAATGTTATATTATTGCTGTTGACTTCTAGAACATTTATTACATATTATTGCCTTCGTTCGAACAGACTCACATGACATTTATTATTTTTTTAACAACCCTATCTAAGGATATTATTGTTAGCTAAGATTAACCCTTGTTCACATAGATTTAATTATTTGAACCAAGATCTATATTTTTTTGTCAAACAATTTGGCGCCGTCTGTGGGAATTTCTTAGTTAAACTTTTAGTTTCCTCTAGATCTACAACTAGCACAGGTCACTAACGTAAAAAAAAAAAAAAAAAAAACAAGACCTCCTTTCTTTGTGTACACAAAATCCTACATGGCAGGTAACCGAGAAAAAAGGACAAGAATAACGAGTGACCTCCCAACCAACCTCATGAATGCCATCAACAAAAGTTGTGAAACGGCAGATGAGGACACGACGCCCAACGCATCCCCCAGGCGAGATGGGTCACCGCCCCCACACTACAGCATAACAAAACCTCGTGGTAAATGAGCCTCCACGTCTGCAGAGGAAGGGACACCCACAACTGTAAAAAAAAAATACTCCTCTAGGCGTGGCTAACTAACACGCTAACAAGCGTCCTTAGCAAGACCGCTCCAGGAACGACTTCAGAAACCGCAAGGACTTGCACGATCTAGCAAACAGATGAGTAGTGCAACCAACCCCTCCCTCCAGCGGCATGTATGACTTACAATGTCATCGATAGTGCAGGTGACAACGCCCTAGCCACCATTCTAAAAAAGATGGATGAAATGAAAAATGAAAACAAGGCGCTCCGAGACTAGATGAAAGAGCATCAAGAACGGGTTGATAAGATACCAGGCGCTCCTAAGCTGCTGCCGAAAAGGGACGCCGGCCGGTTCGTGAGTAACAGTACAATGACGATGCAGCCCCGCATGCCATACCAAAGACCTTCAAAATGCCAGTGTATTGTGATGTTTCTCGGATCGGTATTGGATGTATTTTGATGTAGGAGGGTAGAGTGATTGCTTATGCTTCGCGTCAGTTGAAGCCTCATGAGAAGAACTACCCTGTCTATGATTTGGAGTTAGATGTCATCGTTCATGCATTGAAGATTTGGAGGCATTATCTCTACGATGTGTCTTGTAAGGTATTAACAGATCATCGGAATCTCCAGCATTTGTTCAAATAGAAGGATCTAAATTTGAGGCAGCGGAGATGGTTGGAGCTTCTAAAGGGCAATGATATCACTATTCTGTATCATTTCAGGAAGGCCAATGTGGTGGCCGATACCTTGAGTAGAAAGGCGATGAGTATGGGTAACCTTGCGTTCATTCCTGTTAGTGTGAGACCTCTTGCAGTTGATGTTCAGGCCTTGCCAACCAGCTCGTGAGATTAGATGTTTCGAAGCCCAACTGGGTTCTATCTTGTGTGGTATCTCGGTCTTCCTTATACGATCGCATCAGAGAGCGCCAGTATGATGATTCCCATTTGCTTGTCCTTAAGAACACGGTTCTGCACGGTGATTCCAGAGATGTTACCATTGGAAATGATGGGGTATTGAGGATGCATGGTCGGATTTGTGTGCCTAATGTGGATGGGCTACGTGAGTTGATTCTTGAGGAGGCCCATAGTTCGCAGTATTACATTCATCCGGGTGCCGCGAAGACGTATTAGGACTTGAGGAAGCATTATTGGTGGAGGAGAATGAAGAAGGATATAGTAGGGTTTGTAGCTCGGTGCCTCAACTGTCAGCAGGTAAAGTATGAGCATCAAAGTCCAGGCGGATTGCTTCAGAGGTTAGAGATTCCAGAGTGGATATGGGAGCAGATCACCATGGATTTTGTAGTTGGGCTCCCACGGACTTTGAGGATGTTCGATGTTATTTAGGTGATTATGGATTGGCTGACCAAGTCCGTGCACTACACTCCAGTGGGGACTACTTATTCTTCGGAGCGGTTGGCTGAGATTTACATCCGAGAGATTGTTCGCCTCCACGGCGTGCTAGTGTCCATCATTTCAGATCGAGGCACACAGTTTACATCGCAGTTTTGGAGGGCCGTACAACGAGAGTTGGGTACCCAAGTTGAGTTGAGCATAACGTTTCACCCTCAGATGGACGGACAGTCTGAGCGCACTATTCAGTTATTGGAGGTTCATGGGATCATTTTCTGCTACTCGTGGAGTTTGCCTACAACAACAGCTACCAGCCGAGCATTCAGATGGCTCCGTATGAGGCTTTGTATGGGAGACGATGTAGATCTCCGGTGGGTTGGTTTGAGCTGGGTGAGGCTAGGCTATTGGGTACTGACATGGTCCAAGATGCTTTGGACAAGGTTAAGATGATTCAGGAGCGGCTTCGTACGGCGCAGTCTAGACAGAAGAGTTATGCCGACAGAAAAGTTCGTGATGTTACTTACATGGTCGGGGACAAGGTACTTCTCAAGGTCTCACCCATGAAGGGTGTTGTGAGATTCAGAAAGAAGGGCAAGTTGAGCCCTCGGTATATTGGGTCGTTTGAGGTACTTTAGTGGATTGGAAAGGTGGCTTACAAGCTTGCCTTGCCACCTAGTTTGTCGAGTGTGCATCCAGTATTTCATGTTTCTATGCTCCGAAAGTATGTCAGTGATTTGTCTCATGTTTTGGATTACAACACAGTTCAGTTGGATGGTGATCTGACTTATGATGTGGAGCCGGTGGCCATTTTGGATCGGCAGGTTCGAAAGTTGAGGTCAAAGGACATAACTTCAGTAAAGTTGCAGTGGAGAGGTCATAAAGTCGAGGAGGCTACTTGGGAGACCGAGCGGGAGATGCGGAGCAGATATCCACACCTATTTGAGACTCCATGTATGTTTCTAGACCCATTCGAGGACGAACGTTTGTTTAAGAAGGGGAGGATGTAACGACTCGACCGGTCATTTTGAGAGTTGTTGCCCCGTTCCCCCATTTATTGCTCATTTTGTACTTTGTAGCTGTTATGTGACTTGTCGGGGTAGTCGGTTCGGGTCTGGAGGGATTTCAGAATGAAATGAGACACTTAGTCTCAATGTTGGAAGCTTAAGTTGAAAAGGTTGACCGGATGTTGACTTATGAGTAAATGATTCCGGAATGGAGTTTTGATTTTTCCGTTAGCTCCGTTGAGTGATTTTGACTTAGGAGCGTGTCCGGATTATGATTTGGAGGCCCATTGTTGAATTAGGCTTGAAATGGCAAAAATTGGATTATTGAAAAAGTTTACCGGGAGTAGACTTTTTGATATTGGGATAAGATTGGAATTTAGGAAGTTGGAGTAGGTCCGTAATGTCAAATATGACTTGTGTGCAAAATTTGGGGCCAATCGGACGTGATTTGATAGGTTTCAACGTCGTTTGTAGAAGTTGAATTTCCTTAGTTTCAATAGGCTTGAATTGGGGTGCGATTCGTATTTTTGAAGTTGTTTGATGTGATTTGAGGGCTCGACTAAATTCGTATGAGATTTTAGGACTGGTTGGTATGTTTGGTTTAGGTCCCGGGGGCCTCGGGTTGATTCCAGATGGTTAACGGATCAAAAGTTGAACTTAAGAAGTTGCTGAAGTTGGGGTATGCTGGTTTAATCGCACCTGCGGAGCTTTGATCGCAGGTGCGAGCTCGAAGGTGCGGGCTCAGATGTGCAGATGCGGAGTTTGGAGGGGTGTGAGCATGTGGTCGCAGGTGCGAAGGATTTTTCGGACCTGTGTGGCCGCAGGTGTGGCGAGAGGGGCGCAGAAGCGGAAGGCGCGTAGGTGCGTTAGGGAGTTTCGCATCTGCGTGACCCTAGATGCGGCACGAGGACCACAGAAGCGGAAGTGGACAGATGAGCTGGGATCGCAGAAGTGACTTGGATGCTCGCAGAAGCGAGCCCGTAAAAGCGGAGTGAGGAACTGCGGGAGCGGATAGGGCCGCAGATGCATGGGTGATGTCGCTTCTGCGATACCGTAGAAGCGGTTAAGTTCCCTCAGAAGCGGAAGTGCTGGGCAGATTATTAAATAAGGGTTCGCGGTTTTGGCCTCATTTCAAACATTTCAAGCTCGGGTTTGGGTGATTCTTGCGAGAATTTTCGAGGGGATTCTTGAGGTTAGTCCTTGTGCTCGTTTTCGATCAATAATATTGCTTTCCCAATGATTTTCCCACCTAGTTGGTGTGTATTTAAGGTGTAAATTAGAAGTTTGAGGCTAGGGATTTGGAGAGTTTGATTTGGGGATTTACGTGACGATTGGGTGTCGGAGTTTGATATATTTGGTATAGTTAGACTCGTGGTTGAATGGGCTTTCGGGTTTTTT